CCTAGCATGTGCAAGGCCCTAGACTCCATCCCCAGCACACGTGTGTATGCACACAATTGGTATTAAATCACAGATGTCGCCGGGCATGGTGGCACGTCTCTGGTACCAGCACTTGGGAGGAAGAGGCAGGTGGATTTCTGTGAGTTCAAGGCCAGCCTGGTCTACATAGTAAGTTCCAGTGTGGCCAGCTGGGGCCACAGGGAGACCCTGTTTCAAAAACAAACAAACCCAAAAAGAAAAAAAATCATGGATGTCATAAGCACTGACACCAGCTTCAACCTGAGCCACAATGTCTATTTAAAGCCACTGACAAGGTATACAACAGACTGGAGTCCATGAATGCTCTGAGAAGTGCTGAGCACTGATGACTCATGACTGTTAGAACAGAGCTCTGATGGCTAAATCAACTTCTCTAGGAGCCTCATATGCTGCCCAGAGTTTTGTGGTGACCAAACCTGTACTGGGAACTTTATTCAAGATATCCCACTGGCCCCTCTCAGGGATGGACTTCAAAATATGTAAGTCACTAGTCAACCAAACACTAGGAAAAACTTGACTTAACCTACTTTCTCTTAAAATTTGTTTTTTGAAAAAAGTTTATCCTGCCAGGCGTGGGGGCACACGCTTTTAATGCCAGCACTTGGGAGGCAGAGACAGGTGGATCTTTGTGAGTTCGAGGCCAGCCTGGTCTACATAGTGAGTTCCAGGCCAGCTGGGGCTACAGGGAGACCTTGTCTCAAAAAAGACAAAAATAATAATAATAAATAATAATAATAAAGGAAATGAACTCAAAACAGGCCACAGAGAACCAAGCATTATTCTAAACAACATAACCTGTAGATTTAATCACCTTCCAAGACTAAAAAAAAGTTTCCTCTAACAATCTATTTCAACGGGCAGCAACGATAGCTGCCATTTATTACAATGTGGCTTGCTGTGTTAGCTTATGCACTGTGCATACTCACTGAATCCTTCCAAATGACCTATGAAGTACATGCAATTTTTATCACTCCTAATTTAGGACTTGACAAACTGTGACATGTAGAAGCAATAAACAGCAGAGCCCAGGCTCAAGGCTGATCAAGATGCCCTTGTGTCATCTGCAGTTAAAACTCAAATCCTCAGGCTGGGCACAGGAGGTGCACACCTTTAGTCCCAGCTCTCAGGAGGCAAAGGCAGGCAAATTTCTGTGAGTTCAAGGCCTGCCTGGTCTACATAGCAAGTTACAGTCAAGCCAGGACTACATAGTGAGACTCAGTCTCAAAAACAGGGGGTCACCTAGAGAGATGGCTCAGCAGTTAAGAGTACTGGCTACTCTTACAGAAGACCTGGGTGGGTTCAGTTCCTAGCACCCACAGGTAGCTAACAACAGTCTGTAACTCCAGTTCCAGGAGATCAAACTCCCTCTTCTGGCCTCTGTGTACTGTACGCACATGGTATACTTACATGCAAGCAAAAGCTCATATGCATAAAATAAGTAAAATATTTTTAAAAACCCAAATCCTCCTTTCTAGCCATTTGTAGTGGCACACACCTGTAATCTCAGCACTGGAGAAATAAAGGCAATAGGATTTCAAATTCAAGACCAGCCTGAGCTACTTAGCAAGTCTGAGATCAGCCTGGGCTACACAGTGAGACCCTGTTTCAAAAAGACTAACTTCAGCTGAAGAGATGGCTCAACAGTTAAGAATACTGGCTGCTCTTGCAGAGGACCCAAGTTCAGTTCCCAGCACCAACATGGTGGCTAACAGCCATTTCTAACTCCAGTTCCAGGTTATCCGATGCCCTCTTCTAGCCTCTGAGGGCACTGCATGTACAGGTGCAATTGCAGGCAAAACACTAACACACATAAAATAAAAATAAATAAAATTTTAAATTAACTTGCTTCCTATCTATACTAATTTTATTTACCTAGAATGGAAGGCCTTGAAACAAAGCTGCAATTCTTACACGACTTCAGCATCTAAGAAAAGCAGGAAACCCAGATCCTTCCGTTTAGGTTCCATAACTCTCTGGAAATGCCAATCCAGTCAGACTTTAATCTTTTTGTCCAGATTCCATCCTTTTGTTTCCTAAACTGCGTTGGGAAAACATGATTGGGCAATAAGGGAATTCGTTCCCAAAGCTTAAATTCTAAGTGTGTTAGTTTGGCAGCTATATTGTGCTTACACAGATCCCAGGGGAGAACATTTCCTTTATTAGCAATTTCCTTTAAAAATTCCAAACTAAGATGTTAAATATAATACCTCCTAACTTTTATAAATAAGCACATTCCCCAGATTATTTTGATTGTCTATTAACAAGACAGGTTTGTCACAGCAGTTAGCAACTGTAATGCTTTAAGAAATCTTTCAAACTTGTTCTTTAAAGAATTGACCTGAAAATCATTCTTTGGATTCTTGTACTATGAAATAGAGTTTGAATTTATAATTCATTTCCCTAAAAAGACATTGTTGCTGTTATGTCTAATGTCAGAATTGTCAGAAGTAGGTCTTTCTCCAAACTATGAAACATAATAAATCAAGATTTTGGGGCTGGAGAGATGGCTCAGTGATTAAGAGTGCTTGCTGCTCTTCCAGAGGGCTGACGTTTGGTTCCCAGCACCCACCTCCAGCAGCTCACAACTGCCTGTAACTCCAGCTCCAAAGGATCTGGCACCTTCTCCTAGCCTCCATGGACAACCCCCCCACCACATACACATACACACAGAGACACATACATAAATAAAAATAAATCTTTTTTAAAAATAAGGATTTTAAAAAATATTTTATTATTTTTATATGTGTATGTGTGTATTGCCTGCATGTAGGTAAGTGCACCCGTGTCATGCAATGCCTACGGAGGACAGAAGAGGCTGTCGATCCAGATCCCCTGGAACTGGAGTTACAGACAGTTGTTAGCTGCCACATGTGCTGGGATTTGAACCCAGGTCTTCTGCAAGAACAGCCAGTGTTCTTAACCGCTGAGCCATCTCTCCAGCCCCAAAATAAGGATTTTTAAAAATAATTTATTACATACATTCACCAAAGACAAATTAAGCATTTCACTGTTCTTAACTGTCTGGGCATGATGGTGGCACATTTTTAATCCCAACACTCAGAAGCAGGCAGATCTCTGTGAGTTGGAGGCTGGCCTGGTCTACATAGCGAGTTCCAGGCCAGCCAAAACTACAGAGTGAGAGCCTGTCTCAAATAAATAATAAATAAACAAACAAACAAATCTGACAACTCAGACGTACTAAATATTAATGATTGTTCTGTTTGGACAAATTACCTACAACAGGCTTTTAAGGAGAATGCATGACTGCTGTATTTTAGGGAAAGGCACCTAGCAGACCTCACAAGTACCCTTTCACTGCACACGTGGTTTAAGTGTACTTGTAATTATTAAGGTTGTCTTTAGCTGGACAGCTCCTCAGGTGTCTACCTAAAATGTGGATGTGAAAGTAAGAACCAACCCTCATTTTACCTTTGGGAAAGAGCCAAAGAGCTGGGTAAGGAGGGTAAAATCTTTGCTTTACCTCACAACCCCATGGTTATTTTGGTTTCTTTTTTAACCACGTCTACTTATTATTATAGGTAGTAGGTTTTTTAATTGTGTGTGTGTGCACCCATCATACCAGCCATCAGGTCTTCCCCCACTTTTCACAGCTTCTTAGTCCACAGAATCCCATTAACATCAAGCTTGATGTTAACCTTATGCAGGGTTACAGAGCCTTCAAATATCTTGACTACTCACCAACTACAAGTATTCAGGATGAGTACAGTATTCTTCAAGGCCAATTTATGATATTCAAGGGGAAGATAAAAAGTATCTTGTCTCTGCAAGGTACTCATAAATCTGTACCTTAGTCCTAAATTTTCTCCAAAACAATACAGAGTCCTGCTTGGATGATTCAGTCAACAGTGGTAGCAAAACTGTCTAAACCTTTTATCTTTAATCTGAAACATTTCTTCCTAGTAAAATTTCTGTTGGCATACTATCACCAAAACTTGTGTTTGTTTCCTTCCTTATGTTGTTCTAATGTCACTTTAAAACAGTAGTCAAAAGTCAGTTGTGGAGCTGCACACCATTAATCCCTGCATGAGGAGTTCTGTGAGATGGAGGCCAGCCTGTTCTACATAGTGAGTTCCAGGCCAGCCAGGCCTACAGGGAGACCCTGTCTCAAAGTCAAAAAAAGAAAAAGATACAAGACAAAATTGGGTGCTGTAGACTTGATGTAAATCAACAGGATTGGTGAAGAAAGATGATACTCAATTTCTGCCAACCATTAACCAGGGGAAAATGTTCTGGCAGAATCTCTAATGTAGAGGACAGGCAAGAAATTCAGACTGTCAGAAGAACCCTGATTTCAGCAGCGTGTGGGCCTTAAAGCACCTGCTAGTCAGCAGGCCACAACCCCCGAGTCAACCAGTCTCCAGCATTCTACATCACTGCTCCTGACCACCGCTAGGTCCAGAAGCAAAATACCACCACAAATACCAGACTGTAATGCTGTCATTCAATGTCCACTCAGCATCCTCTTCAACTTCCCCCACACAAACATTGCACTTTCCATCAAAGGAGTCGTCCCCCGCCCCCCGCCCCGTATTGGCTGTGTCCTTGCCAAGATGGCCTCCTCCTTTACCCCAACCAGTGCACATACTTGGCGTAGGAAACAAACCCACCACTGGAGCGGACACCTGCTGACCGACGAGCTGGCTCACCCATGAGTCAAGACGCCCCTCCAATCAAATCCAACAGATTTAATGCTTTTTAATCAACTTCAAGAACGGGCTCCAATCTCCCAGGAGACAAATGCTACGGCCCGGGTATCCCCGCTCCCCAATTAACAGCAGCATTTGTAAAGCGGGCGGTAGAGTCCCTGCGCTGAGGGGCCCAAGCAAAGGTCTGCGGGGTGTGCACGCTCCACAGCAGGAAAGCCTCGGGAAGTGGGGATCCCGCGCAGGCCCCACGCGAGCCTGCTGCGCCTGCATCTGTCCCCCGCCGCCCCCCGCTACCTTGTCCTCGGGCAGCGCGTCCTCGCGGACCGTCCTTTGCCGTAGCTCGGTCATGCTGGTAACCCCGGTGACCAGCCAAGGGCGAGCAGGGCGGCGGCCACCTCAGCGCGCGGCTGGTTGGCGGGGCCAAGCGGCTCGCAGCCCCGCAGAGCCCAGCAGCCCCGGGGCCTCGTAGAGCCGCCGCAGCCGCGCAGCCAGCCCCGAAACCCGGCCCCGCCCAGCGCCGCCGCTGCCGCCCTTTTCCGGAGCTGAGAACCCAGACCTCCCCAGCCCGACGCTCGCTCCTCCTCCCGGGATACTGAGAGTCAGCGCGCACGCGCACAGCCGCCATCTCCGCCCGGGAGCGGCCAAGGGCGCCCAGACGCCAGGGGCGGGGCAGAGGGGCGGGGCGGAAGGGAGCGAGAGGCGCACATTGGACGGCAAGGAGAGGGGGCGGGAGGTGAGCACGAGAAGCCAATGGGAGCCTCGGCCCCACGGTGAGTGCCAGTGCGGCAGAGCTGGGTCCTGAGGACGAGCGCCCCCTGAGGTCTAGCCCGGCCGGCTTGGGTCGTCTCGGAGACAGTCTAAGTGGAGGGACCAGATAAGCCTCTGATGACAGGGGAGGCCGCGTTACTTTGGTAGGGGTGATCTCTAGTAATTATTAAGCACCGATTTTCTGTCTAAGCATCAAGCTGAGTAACCGCTTTTATTGGCTCATCTCATTCAAATCACACATCATTTGGAAATGGATGTGGTTTGCATTTTCCAAGTTGGGATCATCCACAGTGTTTCAAATGTCTTAAATTTTTGTTTTTGTTTTTGTGCTGAACAGAACTCAGGCCACAAATGTTAAGCACAAGTTCTGCGAGTGAGCTAACACCCCTAACTTGACTGTTGGTAGATTTTTTTTTTAGGGACAGGAATGTCAACTACTTTGTTTCCTATAAATCCCCTATATGCCTGACATATCCTAAGTATTTGATGAATGGATTTTAAACTTCTAAAGGAAAATGACTTAGCTAGCAGCTAGAAAATAATTAGAACACAGTCACAAATGGCCAAAACGCAGAGACTGAAAAGTCTACAGAGTGTGGGTCCTTGGACAGAACTCCTATATTATGGTCCATGTACCCAGGGCTCAGGGACCATTGCAGAAGAAGGGGCAGACAGATTGTAAGAGCCAGGGATGAGGTGCGTGACCATATGGAAACAGGCCTGGAAGCGCCAGGGACCCTTCTCATACAAACCTACAGCAATGGTGTCAGCCTGCACAAGACCCGTGCAAATTAGGCAGACAAAAACCCAGCACAGAACTGTGGAAATGAACAGCAAGCCCCAATCTTAGTCGAAGAATTATTGGCAGCTGATTACTGCTGGGTGAGAAAGAGCTGATCTTCTTGAGCAGAGAGACTCTAGACAGGCTGACTAAACCCAGGTGGATGAACTTGCAATGAGGGACATCTCAGGACACTACAAAATAGACCTTAATACAAATGACAGAATGTATGAACTCCAGTGGGGCAGCTATGGGAGGGTGTCAGAGGGGAAGGGGGAAGGGGGTATAATGATGATTTTATGTATGAAATACATAAAAATGCAATAAACAATTATTTAAAAAAGAATTAGAACACAGATGTTTGCTACCTAAACCACACTGTCATTGTTCATATTCCCTGCCTAAATTCAGTAAAACCTGAATTCAGCATTGTCCTCAGTACAAACCAGAACGTTTAGCCATACTGTAATCTCACAGTAAAAGGCATTTACACATAGGGGAGCTGCAATTTCAATTAACAATTTTGACCTGAGTTGTGGGTTTTAAGGAACATAGTAAGAATTCTGAAAAGGACATTAAATATTGCTGAGTTCTATGAATATCTTCTCAATGTGCTTCAAAGTGACAGTAAAACAGATTTGGAAGAGTTTGGAACTCTGACCTCTGTTTCCTATTTAACAGCATTGGACAAATAATTGAGTGTTTTTTATTGTGCCTTTTTAAATTTTAGGTGTTTTACCTGCATGTATGTAAGTGCACCTGTGTCACACAAAGCCCAAGGAGGCCAGAGAAGGAGTCAGAGCCCCTGAAACTGGAGTTTCCAATGGTTATTAGCCACCATGTGGGTGCTGGGAATTGAACCCCGGGTTCTCTGGAAGAGCAGCCAATGCTCTTAATCTCTGAGCCATCTCTCCAGCCCCAGCGTCTTTTTCTTTTTTCCTTCTTCTTAGGAACAAATACCATGGTTTATTTAGAGAAAGTTTTGTTTTGCTTTTTGTCTATTTATCTATAAAAGTAAATATGCTGCATACGATAAATTTAAAGCTCTTGTAAATCTGTTGAAGACTGTGACCACCAGTTTGACCGACACTGTTACTTCTTTTAATATTTTTATGTGTATGTGTTATTGCCTGCATATAGGTAAGTACACCTGTGTTATGCAATTCCCTACAGAGGACAGAAGAGGCTGTCAGATCCCCTGGGACTGGAGTTACAGTTATTAGCTACAATGTGGGTGCTGGAATTTGAACCGGGTCTTCTGCAAGAACAACCAGTGTTCTTAACCGCTAAGCCATCTCTCCAGCCTGTTTGTCACTTTTTTATCTAAATATCAGATAGCTCTTGCATAAATTAAGCAAATAATCTAGAGGGTGTAGAAGAACAGTAATACAGAAGGAGCTACAACGATATCTTTGGAACAGGTAGAGGTATTACTATCCAGATTCTCACCTTTCGGGTATCACATAGTTGAAGAGTGTTACATCTGTACAAGGTCAGCTGTTCAGTTTCACACCCAGTCTAATATAAGAAAGCTAGAGGGCTGAGGATGTAGCTCAGTTGGTGGAGTGCTTAGTAGTATTAGCATGCATAATCCCCAGTACCACATAAACCAGGTGTGGTAGTACACACCTGTAATCTGGTACTCAGGATGTACAGGCAAGAGGATCAGAAGTTCAAGGTCATCCCCAGCTATATAGTGAGTTTAAGGCTAATCCAGAATGCATTAGACCCTGCCTCAAAAAAAAAAAAAAAAAAAGCCAAAGAATTGGGTGTGCTGGCTCACACCTGTAATCCTAGCAGTGTGTAGGCTAAGGAAGAAGGACTGCCATGAGATTGTGTTTAGCCTGGGCAACATAGTGAGTTTCAGGCCAGCTTAGGCTTCAGAGTGAGATTCTGACCAAAGGCTGGAGAGATGGCTCAGTGGTTGCTCTCGAAGAGGACCCAGGTTTGATTCTCAGCACCCACTACCAACCATGCATAACTCCAGATCTGGGGGAATCCAACACCCTCCTCTGACTCCACAGGCATAGCATGACACAAGTGCGCTTACACACATGCAGGTGAAAAACTCATACACACAAAATAAAAATAACAAATAAACCAAAACCAAAGACCTGGAAATCAGTGCACATAAGTCAGAGTTGTAGAGCCACAGAGTATGATTACTCAGCTAGAAAACTCTAAAATTTGACCTGAACAAAATTCTCATCTATTACCATCAAACCTCCCAGGTTAACTGAACACAAATCAAGTGAATTCCTACACTCAATGCTGTGAAGGACAGGGATCCATTAATCAGACATTTCTAGAAACCATGCTAATAGCATTTTATGTTAGCTTTATGCTGCTCCCTCAATTACAGAAAAAACAATCAAAAGAAAAAGTCTTCCTCTAAGCAGGAGAGATGGTTCTGTGGTTAAAAGCACCAGCTGCTCTTATAGAGGCTCCGAGTTCAGTTCCCAGCACCCACATGGTGACTAACAACTGTCCTTAAGTCATTCCAGGGGATCTGATGCCCTCCTCTAACCTCTGTGGGCATTGCATGACATGGGTGCACTTACATACAATCAGGCAATACACTCATACACATAAAATAATAATTTTTTTTTAATTGCCAGGGCTGCTTTTAAAAATTACTGATAGAGGGACCACACAGATTAGAGAATTTCTGAAGGTGGGGCCTAAGGGAAACAGGTTTTTAAGCTTCCCAGTTGAATATAATATGCAGCCAGGATTGACAATGACTTATTTTTTTTCCTTTATGTGTATATGTGTTATTGTGTACATATATGCAAGTGCACCTGTGTCATGCAATGCCCATGGAGGAGAGAAGAGGGCATTGGATTTCCTGGAACTGGAGTTATAGCTGTTAGCTGCCTGCTGCAACTCAATCCTAGGTCTTCTCAACAGCTAGTCTTAATCACTGAGCCATCTCTCTAGCCTCTAGAATGACTTAAATACATACCATATTTTGAAGAAATTTGCCAAAAACTACCAAAATGGTTTAAGTATTTTCCTTACAATGTTTATTAAATTTTCAGTGTTTACTGGATTGCAGAAATAAAATATAAGAAAAAAAATCATTTGTGGTACCATCAGCCACAGACTGCTGTGTGCAGAGATAATAATATTAGGAAATTAGAGTCTTTTATAATGTTTCCTAACCTGATTTTCTCTAGAAACATTATCTGAGAATGGTATTTTAAAGACTATCATAATCCACCATATAAGACTTGCTGCCACTTACCTAGCAAAGGCAATGTTAGACATTTAGGATACTTCCACTTTCAAAGACTTAATAATTCTCTAAGAAACATTTTTTGAGACAGTCTCACTATACAGCCCAGGTTGGCCTAGAATTCTAAATCCCCCTGACTCAGCCGCTACCTGTGTCACCATTTATTACTATATCTGGCTAACATTCTTAAACATACTTCATCTTGGAAAGTATTTGATTATGACCTTAAGAAAACACCAGACTATTTTTTTTTCTTTTTCTTTTTGAGACAGAGTCTCTCTGTAGGCCCAGCTGGCCTGGAACTTGCAATACAGACAAGGCTGGCCTGGATCTCAGAGAGATCTGACTGCTTCTGCCTCTTGAGTGCTGGGACTTTAAGGGACTCAAGAAAAGAAAATTCTCTTGCTGGACATGGTGGTGTACACCTGTAGTCACAGCACTTGGGTTTCATGTTATGGGTTTCATTTTTGTTTGTGGTGCTCTAGCTCTAACCCAAGGCCCTGTGCATGCTAACCACACACAGTAACACTGAGCTATATTATGTTTTGATATGTTGAAGAATTCAAGGCTGGTGAAATGGCTCACTTGGTAAAGGCACTTGCCACCAAACCTGATAACCTGAGGTTGACCCTAGGACCCACATGGTGGAAGAAGAAAGTCAAATCCCACAAGATGTCCTCCGACCTCCACATTTGCACTGTGGTATGCACACACACACACACACACATCACACATAAAAATTTATTTACTTATTTGTCTTTTTGAGACAGGGTCTCCCTGTAGCCCCAGCTGTCCTGGAACTCACGATGTAAACCAGGCTGGCCTTGAACTCACAGAGATCCTCCTGCCTCTGCCTCCGGAGTGCTGGGACTAAAGGTGCACTGCACCACCCCTGGCTCATATAAATAAATTTAATAAAAAGAAAGACTAATTCATCACACATAAAGGAAGAAAGTGCTAGTATCAAAACTTAAAAGTGGAGTCCTTTTATACTCTAATTAGCGAAAATACTCCTTATAATCAACAGGAAAAAGACACTTCAATAAACGAAAATCCAGAAATACATGAGACGTTCCACCTGTAACAGCTGAAATTTTCCCACGAATGGGTACAAATTTTAAAGAGATCAGTGGTGCTCGGGATGTAGGACTTTTGCCTAGGCCCTGGGTTCATTCCCAAAACCACACACACACACACAAAAGATTACTAAGAGTTGTGTATCCTGAGAGGTACTAACACACCTCCTTAGGTATGGCAAAGTTTAATGCACTTTTGAGGTACTTTGCGCAACTGTTTACTATATGAAGGTACTTTTTGATCTTCATAGAGAAAAGCGCAGAGCGACGTATAAAGTGATTGTATGAGGTCGGAGTGTTACAATACGGTGGCCTCTTCGTTGCTTGATATTTTCAGGAGTCGGTTACGCAGTTGTACAAAAGCGCTCCTGCCTTTTTCCAACCGCTATGTTCTTCGGGACACAAAGCGGGCTGCACTCTGAAGCCTTGACTTGCGTTCCTTTCGCTTTCGCTTCTGTGCCGCGGGAACTTCTCTGTTCCCGCGTCGCTCGTGGGGAGGCGCCTGAAAGCTGGGCCTGGATGACAGCCTCGGCCGAGCCCCGGATGAGGACCACCGCGGCGCACACGCAGTAGGCGCCTGCAGCTCCCGGTCGGGCCCCCCACACGCACGCGTCCTCCTGCGACCCCGCCCACAGAGACTGGCGGGGCGGGCCCAGCGCAGGGCGTGCATGTGATTGGTCCCGGAGCCTCTCCGCCGGGAGGCGGGCGAAGCAGCGTGGTGACGTTGCTGCCCGGGCGCACAGGGAAGCGCGCGACTGCGGACCCGGCAGCATTAAACCGTCGCAGCGCAGCGTGCTGGGGTGGTCTCGTCTCTCGTCTTCACCACCACTATCTTCCCACGACCCGGGCGCCCCACGCCGGCCAGGCTTCACTCCCAGACCGTCTCGAGCCCGTCGTCGCACTCCGCCACCATGTTCGAAGCGCGCCTGGTCCAGGGCTCTATCCTGAAGAAGGTGCTGGAGGCGCTCAAAGACCTCATCAACGAGGCCTGCTGGGACATCAGCTCGAGCGGCGTGAATCTGCAGAGCATGGACTCGTCGCACGTCTCGCTGGTGCAGCTCACCCTGCGTTCCGAGGGCTTCGACACGTACCGCTGCGACCGCAACCTGGCCATGGGCGTCAACCTCACTAGGTGAGCAGGCTACGGGCGCCGTGGCGCGGAGCCAGCCGCGGCCTTGGCGGGAGTGCCTCCGACCCGGCCCTCGTTGGCTGGCGTGGGCCACCCGCGCCTTCTGATTGGCTTGCGGCTCTGGGGGCGGGGCCCAGTGGAAAGCGCGGTTCCGAAAAGCCCGCGCTAGAGGCCCCGCGAACCGGCAGTTTCCGCGCCAAAGTCACAAAGCGGGTGGTGGCGGGAAAATGACTTCTTCCTTCTTCGGAGCTTTTGGCTCATTGACGGCCAGCCACTTTTGGTGGCAGACGTTGGTTCTGGTTGGCTTTCCGCCTTATAACATGTTCTAATTGGAATATGGCACTGTCACCAGAGTTGGGCAACGGATTTTCTGGTCTTTTATTCCAGCGTCGCACCTACCAGTTTAAGACCATGGATTTGTGGAAAAAATTAATAGTAGTTGCTTTTAACCCTCCGACCACTATTGGGATTAGTACCACCTGTATAAGTTCAAAAGGCTTACGATAAAGCCGGGCGTTGTAGCGCGCGCCTGTAACCCTACACTCTGGAGGGTGAGGCCACCTTGCACCTAGCTAGACCTAGCACAACACAGTTACCAAGCTGTTTCCTCATACTTCGAGTTTTAATACGCTTCTTAGGTCTTTTTTTATGATCATCGATGCCTGATTTCCTGTACCCCCTGAAGGGATTTGGAATTCAGAACATAGTCTCTATGCCCGAAGGCGAAACACTGATCCAGTGTTTTTAAATACTGCCGTTTTGCATCACAAAATGGTTGGCCCCATACAGACCTCCCTCCAGAGGGTACCATTAGCCTCCCCACCAGTTCCTCAGACGATGTGAAATGGTAGTTCCTTGTAATTGCCTTTAGAAATCTAGATGTTGAACACCTCTTGATGTTAAGTCCTATGTCTTATGTCTAGCATGTCCAAAATACTAAAGTGTGCCGGCAATGAAGACATCATTACACTAAGGGCTGAAGATAATGCAGATACCTTGGCCCTAGTTTTTGAAGCACCAAGTAAGTTACACCCTTTAAACTATTATATTACAGAAAATTAAAGTGCAGTGTTATTCTCAAAACTGGGAATTTTATTGGAATTGTGATGGCTATAAAGTTTGCAGCATAGCTATGAACACGTTTCAGTAACATTTGCTTTCTTTTGGTAGATCAAGAGAAAGTTTCAGACTATGAAATGAAGTTGATGGATTTAGATGTTGAACAACTTGGGATTCCAGTGAGTATCCTTCTGATAATGTATTATACACAACCCTGACATCACTGGTGCATGTTCCAAAGTGGGATTTTAAAATTGGAATGCTAAATGGCCATTTGAATAAACCACAGTAGTCTAAATTGATAATTGGTTGAGTTCCTTGTTGCCAAATGTATTATCCCTTCATGCAGCTCCCCACTGTTAGTTTTTTTTCTTGGAATGCTTTCGGATTTGTTTGTTTGTTTTTTGGTCTTTTTTGAGACAGGGTCTCCCTGTAGCCCCAGCTGACCTGGAACTCGCTTTGTAGACCAGGCTGGCCTCGAACTCACAGAGATCTGCCTGCCTCTGCCTCCCAAGTGCTGGGATTAAAGGGGTGTGCCCCCACGCTGGCCTGTTTGTTTTTTAAGGTTAGGTCTATTAGGGTCAAAGGGGAAGTATTTTTGTGTTTTAAATGCAGAATACATTTTTTCTTTTTTATAACAGGAACAGGAGTATAGCTGTGTAGTAAAAATGCCTTCTGGTGAATTTGCCCGTATATGCCGAGACCTTAGTCACATTGGAGATGCTGTTGTCATATCCTGTGCAAAAGATGGGGTGAAGTTTTCTGCAAGTGGAGAACTTGGAAATGGAAACATTAAGTTGTCACAGACGAGTAATGTTGATAAAGAGGAAGAAGCTGTAAGTCAAGAGAAGTGTCATCAAATTTAGAATATCTGAAGAGAGTACAAGTTGAGCGAGGGGTTTTCCTAGCCAGAAAACAATGGGTTTGTTGATAAACCTCATGTGCTCTTGGTTTTTTGAAGCTCCATGGCACAGGCTGATTTCCAACTTGTGGCAATACTCCTATCTCAGCCTCTAAACGGCTGAGAATGTAGATGTGACCCACCACATCCGGCCCCCACATACACCTCTAAGGATGGGACTGGGAAGCCAACTGTCTGTCTCACTGTAGATAACTACTTTTGACAAGTATGTGAGGATTGGCAACTCAACAGAAGGATCTGCTTAAGGGTGAAAGTGTTAGGATCCTCTTGAGCTTTCTGTGTTGTAGGTCAGATTGCTAACCCTTTTTAATGGTGGAAGAGCAGACTGAGCAAGGTTAAAAGTGTCTGCTTAGACTGATTCACAAAGGACAGACTCAAATGTAAATGAAGATGTACTTAACCAAGATCTCAAATTCTATGCAACTTAGAATTGCATTAAGTGCTATTGACTGGTATGTAAAAACTTGGATAAGTGCTAGAGAGGTGGTGGCTCACACCTATTGTAATCTTGGTACTCAGGAGACTGCAGCAGGATGGTGAGTTGAAAGCCAACCTGGGTTACATAGCAAGAACCTAACTCAGAAAAGGGATGGAAGGCCTGGAGAGCCATCATTTAACCAAAAGATAACAGACCTCTAATTCCAAATATCCCTAAATCAAGGTTTTCCTGAAATAAAGTATTCTTTATAATTCTGCCATATTTTAAAAAGCTTTGCCTGCTAGCTTGAGCACCAGTTAAACTTGTAAATTGCAGTCAAATGTTTAAACTAAGGATTTTCAGGAATAAATATAGTAACATTCAGAGTACTTAACCACAAAGTGCTTACTGTAAATATAATGTATTGTGAAGTTAAAATGAATGGTGGGGCTAGAGAAATGGCTCTGCAGTCAGGAGCACTGGCTACTTTTGCTGAGGACCTGGATTTGGTTCCTAGCCACCCACCCACATTGTAGCTAACAATCGTCTCAGGGAATCCAATATATCCTCTCCTGGCAAAACACAAAATTAAAATAGATCCAAAAAATGAAGGTATAACTGAAGGGTATGTGTGGGCGGATATGTTTGTTACACACAGCCTACGGGCTGATTCCGTTTTTGTTTTGTCTTTTTGAGACAGGGTCTCCTTGTAGCCCCAGCTGTCCTGGAACTCACTATGTAGACCAGGCTACAAAGATCCGCTTGCCTTTGCCTCCTGAGTGTTGGGATGGAGCTGATTCTTTATCTGTCTCCTAAACTATATTTCCACTCCCTGTCAACTCAGCTTTATTTAAATTTCAAGCATTTAACCCATGAATAGAGTTGATACTGATGGAATGAAATGAGTTAGCATGCTCCTCACCTTTCATCCAACCTGTTACTCTTGTTTTCTTTGGGTTAGGGGTAGTTTGCAGTGCTTGGAGATTGACCCCAGGACTTTACCAGTGAGCTACATCCCATTCAGTTTATTTTTTCTCTCTCCATACATTAGTGAAAGAAGTTAGCTGTTTTGTCCTCTACTATTTACAGTCTGCATTTTGTCAGTTTCATCGCTCTCAATTAACTTGTTCCTGTATTGTGCATTGCCTGTAAACTGGTGGCTACAGCTCTAGATGCTTGATGATGTTTCCAAATTTGCATTCCTTTATTTAGTAGCTGCTGTATTTATTAGGTTTTCATTATGAACAGCTTTCCTGTATCATTTGATTGCCTGGGGTACGGTGTGGTTTATATAGGAAAGGCAGCCAAATTTTCATTTGTTTTATTAGTCTTCAGAGTTTTCTCATCATACCCTCCAAAGAGACCAATAAAGGCTTTTTGTTTTTAAATGTATGTCACGAACAAAGAGTGACTTTCTTAGTGTTTTTCTGTGTAATGAATCTGTTTTCTCCTATAGGTTACCATAGAGATGAATGAGCCAGTTCAGCTAACTTTTGCACTGAGGTACCTGAACTTTTTTACAAAAGCCACTCCGCTGTCTCCTACAGTAACACTCAGTATGTCTGCAGATGTGCCCCTTGGTAAGATAATATGTTTGAATATTGTTTTGTAATGGAGAGTTATGTAGGACTCCTCAGTGATGAATGTTTCCTGTCTTTCAGTTGTAGAATATAAAATTGCTGACATGGGACATTTAAAGTACTATTTGGCTCCCAAGATTGAAGATGAAGAAGGATCTTAAGCCTGGATAGAATCTGAGACACAGCCTTTGAGAACTGCTTTTCAGATGCCAGAACGTTCTGAAGTCTGTCTTTCACCAAATTTGTGCCTGAGTACATATGTAGATATCTTCTGTAAATAACCTATTTTTTCTCTCCATTCTCTGCAATTTGTTTAAAGAATAAAATCCAAAGTCAAAACTGGTCTTAACATGTATTTCAGCCTTAGAAATACTTAAGGTGTTTATATATATATATATATATTTTTTTTATATATATAAAACAAAAGGGACTTTGCTAAGTGCAGTTTTCAGAAATGTTTTTCAATTTAAATAAAGTTAACTGAATTTCAAGTCATAGCACTTTGCCCTCATTTGAACCATGACTTTTGTCAATTGCATACTGAATTTTCAGTGGAAGTTGCCTTTTTCATGTAAATGGTATGTCTACCCCCTCCGGTTTAGAGCAGCATTATGAGGATGGCAATAAAAAGTATTTTGTGTGTAATAGGTGACTGGAAAATTCATTGTCAGACTTACTTGATACTGTAATTTGAGTTTATGGGAGATTAGAAAAAAAATCCTGTGTATTCATTTTACAAGCCTTAAAAGCCTTGAGAGATGTGATGGGACCCGGAGTTTAGTTGTACAAAAATTTCTCTATAATGACTATGTAACTTTGAGACTTGGCTCTTCAGACAGGCTGGGCATGGTGGGGACACTCCTTTAGTCATAGCACTTGGGAGGCAGAGGTAGCCTAGGCTACATATGGAGGCCGTCTCAAAAACTGAAAAGTGAAAGATGGCTTAAATTTTGTGGATGTTGGAGCTAAGCAAGTAAAATGGCCATGCTGTGGAGTTCAGGACAACCTTTAGGAGTTAGTACTCCTAGCCAGTAAGGTTCCAGTGATCAAACAGATGCTTAGGTTTGGCAGCAAGCATCTTTACTCTGAGTCTCCTTGCTAGTCCAAATTACTTTCCCATTCCCGTATTTTGTGTGTGGATACACGTAGGTTGATAAAGGGCATCTACTTTCATCTGCTGCCTTACTGAGACGGGTTCAAACCCAGAGCTTCCCAGAAGGCTAGTCTCTGAAGGACTTATAAGCAGGCCACACTGGGAAGCACTTTAATCATTGAGCTATCTCACCAGCGCCCAAGATACTTATGGTCTGTTTTTCCAGTGTTTGTGTTTGGCAGGTCACTGGTTTCTTCTGCTTGAACTGAGTTCTAGGAAGTTGCTGGAGGTTAGAGTTCATATCCAGTAGCTGCTATTCATTGCTTTGTGCCATCAAGTGGTGAAGGAGATTGTTTGAAAGGCCAGTGGAACTTGGGTGATGAAAATGTTTTATCAAGACGTCCTGGTTCCAGAATGATGCATGTGTTAGAATTCATCCAATTTATTTTATGTGAAATGGAATAAACGAACTTTCAAAAATGCTGTAAATGTGTGTCCTCTGGGCAGGCCTCCTACCTGGGCAAGGCCTAATAACCAGGAAATAAAGGCAGTCACAAGAATGTGGGGCTCCTGGAGAGAATGCAGTAGTGGATGCTGACTACCTCAGAGGGCCTTGGGTAGTGGTTGGTAGCTTGCCAGGGACTCTGGGTAGGAGCCACCCAACAACCTTGCCTGGGGCTCAACTGTAACCCAGATGGGCGGGACCCTAAGTACTTCCCGCCTGCCCCCGTGGGAATCCCAAGACCGGAAGCTTCGCTAGGCACCTGCCCGCGGCACCGTTCTAGATACACGTTCAGGAAGCTGGGCGTGACGACGTGGCTTCCTGGTGGGGACACTTCCGGTGCGCTCCATCCAACACGCCACTTCCGGCGGTGGGCGGGTGCTGGGTTCATCGAGCGAGCAGCTCCTTCCCGGCGTCCGCTGGAGCATCCGCTAACGGAGAGCCGGGTGGGTCGCGGGCGCTCCCGGAAGCCCCGAGGTCTCAGCCCGCAGCGGCTGGCTCCTAGTTAGTGTTTGCGTCCGTCCTGACCTTGGTGGCGGCATCCGGGAGCCGCCGGAAGATCGCGTACGTAGAGGCGCGCAGGGATATGCAGACTCCGGTGCCCGGGAAGGAGTGGGGATACGGCGGGGTCGGGCAGGCCTGCTGGAAGCTTGGCTGTTTGAAAAGTTGTCCGTTTACGGTGTGAATTTTCCCCTCTAGAATTCGTTTTCTTTGCCAGAAAAAAGCATGAGTCCCCCTTCTAGTTCGCGTTATGCAGCTTTCTCTTTTTTTTCTGAAGCGAGTTCATAAAAAGTAATGGCAAAGCGCGTAACTTTTTGTAACAGGCTAATACAAATCAATTGTGCTTTGATGGCCTCAAAACTACCATTGGTTGGTAGTTCAAACCTTCAGGTCTGAAAAATTAATCTTGTCATCGGGATCACAACATGAAAAACCTGGGCTTATGGAATCGCATTACTCTGTTTTCAGGACTCGACTCCTGAACCACAAGAGAGGCACATTTAGCACCAGACCTTGCATAATGCTAGTTACTTTAGGTCAGTTTTAATAAGCAGTGTCGGGCATCTCACCAAATCATTAAATACTTCTTGCCATTACCATCAAGATGACGGGAATGATTTACAAAATATCACACCAGAGAAGCCTAAGCTTTGTTTTATGTTGCCCCCTTTGAAATACTTTTCTCCTTAAAGATACGCTTTTACATTTAGAGTTCAGATGTCTTTGCAATTTGAATAGTCTGTTTTGTTCACAAAACTTGTTGGTTTTATGAAGAAAAGATATACAAATTTCACTTGAGGTAGGAGAAAGCCCCTCGTCTCACTATATTGCCCAGACTGGCCTCCAACTCAACATATTCACACCTTAGCCTCCCAAGTAGCTGGGATTACAGTGGTGTACCACAGTGCCACACTCAAATTATTTGTGAGACCTGGTCACCCTGGAGTCCCTTCTGGTTTATAACTTTAGACCAGGCTGGTCTCCATCTCACAGAGATCCACCTGCCTCTCTGCCTCCCAAGTGTTGGGATTGAAGGTGCCTGGCCTTCAAATTCAAAAAATTTTAAATGCTAATGTTTTAAAAATCTTAATCTGGATGTGGTGGCGCACACCTTTAATCCCAGCACTCATGAGGCAGAGGCAGGCAGATCCTCTGAGTTTGAGGCCAGCCTGGTCTACAGAGTGAGTTCCAGGCAGCTGGAGCTACAGGGAGACCCTATTTCAAAAAGAACAAAAAAAAAAAAAAGAAAAAATAAGAAAATCTTAAACTGGACAAAATGGCCATGATTTCACTATTGCTGTCTACTTTGAATATTTTGAATAAAACATTTTTATTCTGTTGGGTTTTTTTTTTGTTTTTCAGCAAGCTACACTGTGTGGAAAGTGAAATGATTTGTTTCAGTGCTTGGGGTGGGGCAGAGAGGCAGGTGTATTTGAAGTGTCTGGTGTGATGATAGTAACCAAGAAGTCATGCCATAGATCATTTGCATTGAGGATGATGTCACATCAAGGAGAAATGGGCGAGTTGCTGGTGTTAGTGTATGCCATTCCTCCTCCTGTCTTCCTTTCCTAACAAGAAAAATCATTATCTGCTCTCAAGGAGAGGCAAGAGCAGGCACTTCGGAGTGGTCGAGACCGTGGACGGTGTGTCAGGTATACCTGGATTGAAGCCTTCACTCACCTGTTCTCTGTGTCTTTGAAAAAATTAGGCAAGGAACATTGATGGTAAAGTAAAGGAGTTTGAGTCTTTGCATGATGTCTCCACTGTTGTTCAGTGAAGACAAGCCAGATAACTAATGAAGGTGTTTTCCTTAGGTCCATTCAAGGAATGTAATGAAGCCCAAGTTGCCACATGCATTCAATATGCCACGGCAGCCAAGAACTCCAGTGTATATCTGACATCCTTGACTACAGTACACTACTGTCACCTACAGACAATAACAGTCTTTTTCTTTCAGACTAGCTGTGTCGGCGTGTTATGATGCCATCTCGTACCAACCTGGCTACTGGAATCCCCAGTAGTAAAGTAAAATATTCAAGGCTTTCCAGCACAGATGATGGCTACATTGACCTTCAGGTAAACACAGAAAGAAAATGAGAAAGCTGCCTGGCTGTATTTCTGTTGAGTTAGCAGGAACTTTCCCAGGTGGAACTTTGGCTCAACACCCCTGTAGGTTCTCAGGAGCAGTGAGAACTAGGCTCATCCCTCAGACCCTTTCGGCCCTAGTTTGAAGAAGGAGACCTTGGCAGGGCATTTTCTAACAAATTTCAGAATTGTCCATTTCCAGTTTTTAGTTGTAAGGGCAGAGCCCTGTAGTTGCAGATTTTTAGAAAATTTATCCAGAAAATCAGATTTTGTTTTAAGGATTGTGTTTATTTACTTTAGTTAAAGTCAGTTCATCTTTTTTTAAAAATACATTATTTGATTCTTATGTGTATTAGTGTATTGCCTGTATGTAGGTAGGTGCACACATATCCTGCAGTGCCTTCAGAGGTCAAAAGAAGGCATTGGATCCTTTGGAACTGGAGTTATGGACATATGGACCATTGTTAGCCACCGTGTAGGTATTGGGAACTGAACCCAGGTCCTCTGCAAGGACAGTCGGTGCTCTTATCCACTGAGCCCCCATCAGTTTATCTTTTAAGGGAAAACTAACTGCTAAAGCCAGCAAATTGTGGGAATCTTCCTTCTTTCCTGGTGCCATGAGATCCATTTTATTAAAGATACTCTTTATAGCAAGCAAGAAGTAAAATGGAGAATAATTATAAATTTTGTGTCCTATCCTGACCATAAAGTGGGATAGCATCTCCTTTGGCCACTTCCCCTTAGGATAGAATATTCTAGATGGAGTTTGAGCCAAGGAAGCAGCAGGCACAAATCCATCCTTGTAAATATAAATAAGTTGTTTTTTATACTCTCTGGACTCATATTTGAAGAAGTAAAAATAGATCTGGGGAGCTTCCAGACAGCTGAGATCCAGTCATGAGCCAAACCTTGGAAAGTTTGTCTCTGAATCTTTTTTTAATGTTTTTATTAGCATATATTAATTGCACATAATAATGGGTTTCTTTTTACATTCTCATACCTGTATATAATATATTTCTATCCTAATCACCCCTTATCTCTGAATCTTAACCTTGAGTTGAACTTGTTCATAATGCCATGCTTTCATAATTGTTCATAATTGTATGCTAAGGTGATTTTTCAGTGCCAGAAGTCGCTTCTCCATAGTGTAGTGCTCACTCTTAAATCCCTGCAGGTTACTACAAGCATCCATGCCCATGCCATGCACTTAATAAATAAACGTCTAACCAACAGATGACTACAAAGTCATCTCTGTTGTTGTTTTCTAAAGGGTTTCTTCAGATATAGTGAGTGGTCTGTGAAGTCGTTAGAACTTTATCTACTGTCCCTTTGCTTTCTGTCCCAGAGCCACACTGGTTTGTGGACATGATTTAAGACACCTGAAGCATCCACTTTGCTTCTTAATTTTAATTATTCTCAAGTGGTATTTTCCTAATGTTATTTTTTTGTCTTTTTTGTTTTTATTTCTCTTCTAGTTTAAGAAAAGCCCACCTAAGATCCCCTATAAGGCCATTGCACTTGCCACTGTGCTGTTTTTGATTGGTGCCTTTCTGATTATTATTGGCTCCCTCCTGCTGTCAGGCTACGTCAGCAAAGGGGTAAGCTAGTGTGAGATGTGTTGTGAGACCTTTCAAATGCGAATCAGAGCACTGTTGTTTCTGTGTTCCTGTCTAGTATGGCAAATGTCTCCTAAATCTTACAAAGTAGGTGGTGGCAGGTAGGTAAACATGGCTTCTGAAATAGCAGAAATTAGCCTACCATCATAGTTGTGAATGGTGTAGGTGCACCTGGCTTCAGGTGTCCTGATTAGTAGGAGACTGGAGCTGGAGCCCCATGCCATTGTTATTTTGCAGCAGTATGGACATACCATCCAGTTTTTGGGGTACAAGTTTGTGGCCACAGAGCCTTATAAGACAGTTCCTTCTTATGTTGGTTTGGTAAGAGTTCCTACTGAGCGTAGTGATTAGTGGTTCTTTGTCTTGGGCTATGCCCATGTATACTGTGTCTTAAGTTATCCTGAACCAATTCTGACCAAAATTCACCTCCATTCTCTTAATATACATCAGGAAAAATGCAGTTCATGGTAATGTTTTATACAATTAAAAGAAGCAAAAATCAAAGTGTCTAATACCTGGCCTGAGGCAGGGTGGGGGTGGGGGAACAGTAGTTCAGTAAAATTTTTATTTTTATGTGTATGAGTGTATTGCCTGCATGTAGGTAAGTGCACCCATGCCATGCAGTGCCCTCGGAGATCAGAAGAAGGTGTCGGATCCCCTGCAACTGGGGTTAGGGACAGTTGTTAGCTGCCATGTGGTGCTGGGATTTGAACCTGGGTCCTTAACCACTGATCATCTCTCCAGCCCTGTCATAGTTAAGTAAAATTGTGAGACATCCATTTCAGGGGAATGTTACATACCATTACAGCTTAGATATATGAGGGATTTTTAATAATACTGACAAATGATTATTGTAAACAGGACAAACTGTGTTTACACTAAGAACTTGAGACTGGTACTCAGGAAATTGCTAAGTCAGTAAAGTGCTTGCCATGCGAGCTCAAACACAGTTCTGATTCCCAGCACCCACATAAAAAGGGAGCTAGTACAAATCGTGTCTCAAAAAGATGAAATGGAGGTCTGGGCATAGTGGTATGCCTTAAATCCCAGCACTCAGGAGGCAGAAGCAGGTGGATCTCTGTGAAATTGAGGCCAGCCTGGTCCACAGAGTTCCAGGCCAACTGGGACTATAGGGAGACCCTGTCTCAAACAAAAATAAGGTGGAGAGCCATGAGGAAGACAGCTGATGTCGACCCCTGGCCTACACACAGACACACACACACACACACATACATACATATATATATATACACGTGTAAACACAAACATGTATGTATACACTGCACACATGGACCCAGGTACACACATACACACAAAAAAAATCCTTGAAAAAAACAACAGAAGGAAATAAGCCAAACATTTGTGGATAAAATGGATAGTTTTCCTTTAATGAGGAGTGTGTTAGGAGTGTAGTTGTTGCCTAACATGCCCAGGACCTTGGTTCAACCCCCAACACTGAAAGGATAATAAAGAGGAGTTCACAGTTTATAATGGGGAACAGAGAAGCTAACATGTATTTCTAGCCCACTAATGTTGTCCTTTTGCCACCAGGGGGCAGACCGAGCCGTTCCTGTTCTCATTATTGGCATTTTGGTGTTCCTGCCCGGATTTTACCATTTGCGAATTGCCTACTATGCATCTAAAGGCTACCGGGGTTACTCCTATGATGACATTCCAGACTTTGATGACTAGCAGTCACCTCTGCCTTGAAAGAAGTCACGATGCACCCTCTTTAAGACATTAAGCTGGAACTATGGCTGAGGGCTGAGGGAGTCTACAATTTGCAGTGTTTGGTAAACAATGGCCAGATTGTATGGGTCCATCCCAAAAATGCTCACTGAGCTTTACAGTTAGCTAATTAGGGCATGTTCTGTTCTTCATCTCCTGGCCTTGGCAAAGCTTGACAAGTTTTTCCACATGAGTTTGCATCATGCAAGAATAATAAGGTTGATTGTCTGGGAAGCAAGTGATTCTGTAGTGGAAAGTATTAACCTCTGTAGAGTTGAACATTTCTTTTAAAGAGTCATCGTCATCAGTTTGTTTTTGTAGTATATGGAAGAAAGCATTATGTCTAATTTCTTACTACTAAGTAATTTATTTTTAAAATGTCTTAAGTATCTCATTCCTTACATTTACCTCTACCTTCATGTTCTGGTAAAATCAAATATTTGTGGGTCTGTCTGTAGTATTTTTTACACTCTTATTGACAGCAACTGGGAATTTTTAAACCACAAAGTAGGTTTTCAAAATATAAAGACTTCCTCTAGTTTCCCAGTCGATTGTCCTGCACAAAATTGAGGTCATTCTGTCCTTTGTAGATCAAGAAGGTCTGTGTATCAGACCTTTAATGATTGGACTTTGGCTGCTTTTATAGTAAAAGCTGTAGATAAGTGGTTAGTACTTAAGAGTTTATAACCCTGTTGCTGGCACCTGGTACTGGGATATCATTCTGCTAAAGATTACAAGACTTGGCATGGATCCCTGGGAATATATGAGGCTGAGTCTGATTTTTAGCTTGCAAAAAAAATGACATTAAAAAAAATAAAGTGTCATTATCCAAATCCTAGACTTAGAATGAATTAACTTTAGGCATATTTCAGGAAAACATTTTGATGGTATTTTTAACCCTAATACCCAGGACTACCTTTGTTTTTAGGTAACTGGCATTATATTATGAGTCAGACTGGGCACCTAGAAGCCTGGACATGCCGTCAACTGAGATTTGGAAGACTGTGAATAGGGCAGGTTTGGGGGAAAGAAAATTTTTGGATATGCTGAAACTTGATGTCTACTCAACACCAAGGAGACCTACGGAGGGCAGCTGTAGTATGCTATGTCTGGAAGTCAGGACTGGGTCTTGTCTGGAGATAGAAATGTTGGAGTTGGTGTCGGATAGTATCTTCAGAGCCGTGGGGCTGGGTGAGATCACCAGTGGAATTAGTGTATGTGGAGAAGAAGAAAGAACTCAGGAAATATAGCAGTGACCTGAAGCATCCACCAAGTTTGGTTGTATTTAGAAATGGAAAGGAACAGAAAAGGAAAGAAATGGGAAGGGAGCCTGAGGTTTCTCAGCCCTTGGACCTTGACAGTAAAGATGTGAAGTGGAATGTAATACAGAAGGCTTTTCTGTTGAGTACTGCTTATAAAGCTAAGGCTGGATTGTTTCAGCCAGACCAAAAAGCATGGTTCTGTTAATAAGGTAATAATCTCAGCTCTCAAGAGGCAGAGGTAGGCAGATACTCTGAGTTCAAGGCCAGTTGGGGCTACAGGGAGACCCTGTCTCAAAAAGACCCCCTGCAAAAAAAAACATACTACTAAGGAAGGGAAGTCGAAATGCAACAGAAGGGTATGAAACGAGCAGTAGACGTGTTGCTCCAGCTTACCTCGCAAGGCTTTGTAGGCGAATTCCTGACACTGCTTTCCAGAGATTCCCTCTTCCTCTCCCCCATCCCCTCATCCCCTGCCCTGCCTCTTTTTTTTTTCCTGTGAGACTGGGTCTTACTTTGTAACTCTGGCTGATCTAGAACTCCCAATATAGACATATAGACAAGGCTGGCCTCAAACTTCCAGTGATCCTCTTCCTGCCTCTGCCTCCCATGTGCTGGGATTAAAGGAAATTACCACATTGTTTCAAGCCTGAGGCCTCACTGTTGCTAGCACTCTACCTGAGCCACAGTCCCAACCCATTCTTTTTCATGATCTTACAGGTGTATTTTTCTATCCTGTACAGTATGTAGTGGTAGCACCCCAAGGCTTCATCCTGGGCCGGGAATCCCTCTAAATGTAGCCTGAGGAATGACGCTGTTCACACTAATAATCTCATTCTAATTGGCCTCATACAGAAGTTTCTTTTATCAAACTGTCAAGATCAGATTTGTATGAATTAATTGTAATTGTATTCCTTAGTGTTTAATAGAAAAAGTCCAAGTCTCCATAATGATGGTAAACATTTTTTTTATTTGTGTGTGTCTATGTGAATATATGCCACGTGTGGGTATCTGTAGAAGTCAGAAGGTGGTGTATCCCCTGGAGGTGGAGGTACAAGTCTTACAGAGTTTGGAACCACCAGGAAGGACCACTCAGACTCAGAAAGTTCGACTCAGCTGAATCTATTTACCAGGGACAGCACAATTTAGGGAGTGCCACCCTAACTGGGAGGAGATGGGATAAAGGTAAAGTCCTTCGTACAAGATTTAAGCCTTTACAATTTTATTAGAATTTTAAAGAAAAATCCTCAGGGTAGGCGAACTGGTGATCTTGGCAGCTGCCCTGAGGAGGAGGATGGAGGGAGAAGGAAAGGAAGCCATGGAGCCTGCAGGTTTACAACTGGCATGGGAGTCAGATACGTGACTGACTGGCAGCCACATGGCTGGGAGAAGGAAGCTTTAGAGAAAGTAAAGAAATACAAGATGCTACGGCAGTCCAAAGCCTTAAAGAAAGCGCGGTCAGAAAGGGGATATGGAGAAGAAAAGGAGATATCTTGCTTTTTTTTTTTCTGAAGAATTCAGAAAAATGGGCAGACTCACAGACTTCCTGACTTGTGTCTGGTCCAGAAGTTCTGCACTGGGAGGCGGGATTTCAGGCAGGAAAAGTTCACTACTCATTAATGCACCAGGTGTTCCACCCATCTATTTAGCATAACTTAAGGTGAACCTGCCTTCTTAGGGGGTGGTCCTACGACCAGATGATTGAGCAGTGAGACTGGAATGATGTGTCTTTTAACAGACTAGATTTTATAGTCTTGTCCAGTTAAACTTATAGGGCTATTACACAAGCAGTTGTGAACTATTCAGTGTGGGTGCTGGGGACCAAACTCTGGTCCTCTGGAAGAGTAGTACACATTCTTAACCACTAAGTCATCTTTGCAGCCCCTGGTAGAGGTTTTTTGGGTTTTTTTTTTTTTTCTGACAGGGTCACACTACATAGACCCAGCTTGCCTCAAATTCACAGCGATATACCTGCCTCTGCCTCCCAGTGTTAGGATCAAAGACATGGGCAACCACATCTAGCTCCAGTAAACATTTTTAAAAACTGTTTGCCAAGACTGTTCATTACATACTCTGCATCATTTTAATCCCTGAAAAAATTAGTATTAATTAAAAAAATTCCCTAAGTAGTATATGAGATATTTGGAACTCCAAGTCTAAATTAATGCCATTAGGGATTGAACAAGTAAAGAAATGGTGGGGGGGGGGTATGGACAGGAGTAGTAGAGACCAAGGCCAGTTCTCAAATGACTGCCCCAAAACAGCCTTTTAAACTTGGCTAAACTAGACGATACAGCACTCGTGTGACAGCCATCATGCTTTCCTGTTGTCTCCAAAGCTAAAACTCCACCCCTGCTTTCTGCTATTCTGCATGTGATGGAGAGTCCAGATCCAGGGCAGGAAAGATGGCTCAGTGGTTAAGTACAGGACTGCCCTTCCACAGGACCTGAGTTCCATTCCTAGCAACTTGTCAGGTGGCACACAAATGCCTGTAACTCCAGCTCTGGGGGATCCAAGGCCTAGATTCTATGGGCACCTACACTCCTGTGTGTTGACACACACACACATAATTTTTAAAAGTAATAGAACTCTTAAAGGATTGCAGATCTTGATGGGTGTGGGTAGTACATGCCACCCTTAGTCCCAGCACTCAGGAGGCAAAGGCAGGATCTCTGAGAGTTCAAGGCCAGCCTGGTCTACATAGCAAGTTCCAGGCCAGCGGGGGCTACAGGGAGACCCTGTCTCAAAAAAACCAAAAACAAAATAGATTGTAGATCTAGTGCCATGGTAGTGGAAGTGCCACAGGTGGCCAGTGTATCAGACATTAATTGGCCACTTCTGTTGGGAAGTGTTAGGTTCTAGAGGTACAGAGGGAGAAGATGAGGCATGGCCAGAGGAGCAGAGGTTGCAGACTAATGTCACTTCCTGTCCTGCATTTTGCTTTTAAAGGGTCACCATGTGATCTTGATCTTTGAATTTTATTTTTTGGTCTTTTTGAGAGAGGGTCTCCCTGTAGCCTCAGCTAGACTGGAACTCAGAAGATCTGCCTGCCTCTGCCTCCCAAGTGCTGGATTAAAGGCATGCACCACCACACCTGAATTTTCTTAAAAGCAGATTGTTTAGTTGCAACAATTAGTTTTAACCCAGCAGAATTTCCAGTTCACTGCTGTCCCTACTACTTGTTTTCTATACCCATCCTAAAGATTTTTCCATCTGCTCATTTGTCAAATGAAGAGTTGAAATGTGGAGGATATTATGTTCCTTTGCAGTGTGGGCAGGTGGGCTAGTTCCATTTAATTCAGGCTTCCTATATGGCCCTCTGCCAGTTGCCCAGCAGGCAAACTGCACATGAAACAATTGGTACTGACTGCCTGGTGAGTCAGGCCTCCACCTGGAACCCTCTGCTTTATCCAATGGGTCCAGTCTACACCCACCAGGTAGCTCAGAGGAGCATCTTGTTGGTGTATGACAAAGAAATCTGGTAATAAGACAGCAACACAGTGTGACTTTGCAATGCCCCTTGGTTTGTTGTTTGGTTTGGCTTTTGGTGTTTTTGACACAGGGTCTCCCTGTAGCCCCTGCTGGCCTGGAACTCACTGTGTAGACCAGGCTGGCCTGGAACTCACAGAGACCTACCTGCCTGCCTCTGCCTCCCGAGTGCTGGGATTATACGCATGCACCACCACGCCTGGCTTCTTTCTTAAAAAAAAATCTTTATTGCCTTAAGCACAGTTGCTTTATAAAGTGAGATAAATCAGGGTGTGGTGGCACAAGCCTTTAATCCCAACCCTCAGGAGGAAGAGGCAGGCAGATCTCTACAAGATTGAGACCAGCCTGGTCCACATAGTGACTTCTAGGTGGACTGAGACTAGGGAGGCCCTGTCCAAAAAAAAAAAATAATAGAGATAAATCAGTTCCTATCTCAAGGAGAAATTGTGAGGATTCAATAAGCAGTTTTAGAGGGGTGCTTCACACAATTGACACATAAGCACTCAGTAAATGAATGTGCTGCTGAAAACAGTGAGATTCACTCTTGGCTTCAGTAAGCAGGTCCTGGAGTGAGGCTAACGGTGCTGTAGAGCTCATCTGCTGCCCTTGCCCTCCTGGAACCTGTTCCATGACGAAGCTGCCCCAGGCCCGGCTTTCCTAAATGGAACAGCTGGAATGAAAGAGGAGGCTGTTTGCCCTTGTAACTGGGCCTGGGCAGCTGTGTTCTAGTACTCAAAGGCAGAAGACAGGTCCTTGCAGGGAAGACCTTGGGGAGAGTGTGCAACGGTCATCTGAGCTCTCCTGAAGCTGTTCCTTCCATTTTCAGCACTCCACCCTTTAATCCCCCTTGCCCCTTGCTACTCACAAACTGCTCTGGACCAGCAGCGTAGGTGCCACTCAGAAACTTGTTAGAAATGTGGTATCTTGGGCTTCCCTGACCAATCAACCTCCATTGTTAACAAGACCACAGGGTTTGCATTGTTCCTGGACACCACCTGCCATCTCCTCACCTTGGTGCTAAACCTCTTCCAGCAATGCTAGGGAAGGGAGCAGTCCAGGAGATAGAAGGCCTCATCTGGTCTACTCTGACAGAAGCTAACTATTGAAAGGGCTGAGGAAGCTTCACAGAAAGGGCAGAGAAACTAGAAAACCTCTGGGAAAACCTTTTGGTGAACAGTGTGAAACAGGAGTCCCCCAGGTAGGAACAAAGCAGTCTTTGGAGTTCTAAAGACCCAGGTGTGGGCACTTTTCACAAGCAGACTGGCAATTTAGGAATTTACCCTGGTCCTTGGGGGTGACATCCTTATCAAAATCCCAATGTTATTTTTATGAGGAGAATTTTTTGTTGTTTTTTGGGGTTTTGTTTTTTGAGATATGGTCTCCCCTTGTAGCCCCAGCTGGCCTGGAACTCGCTATGTAGACCAGGCTGGCTTCAAACTCAGAGATCCACCTGCTTCTGCCTCCTGAGTGCTGGGATTAAAGGTGTGTGCCACCACTCCCAGCTTTGAGAGTTTTTACAAGAAAACGATAGAAATTTTTGTTAGATGCTTTTCTGTATCTACTAAGGAAATCTATATGTTTTGTTCTTTATTCTGTTAACATGGTATGTTATTGATTTGCTTATGTTGAACTGGGTGTCAGAAAATGACAAGTACTTTCCCAATTAAAAAGGGAGTCCACCAAAAGTGTCATGGAATAGTGCTGATCCAGTGCAGCTGCCACCAGCTGCGGCCACCCCTCCACTCTTCTAGTGCTGGGTGCTGTCTCCGGGCGCCGCTCCTCCACTTGCACGGGCACTGCCTGCGAGCGCATGGGCACTGCCTCCTGGGCACTGCCTCCGATCGCACCGGGGCCGCCTCAGATCGCACTGGCGCTACCTCTGATCGCATGGGTGCTGCCCTTCGCTCCTCTCTGCGCAGCAAGCTGTGGTCGCTCTGAGGCAGCTCTTCTGCTTGACTGGTGCTGGGGCTGCTCTTCTGCTTGCTGGGGAGCTGCCTCTGATCGTCCTGGCTACTTCTGCCCAGTCCGGACCCCAGGGCTGGTGAGGAGACTGTGTCAGTGGAGCTGTATTCAGACACAGGAGACCAGGTTCGTTGATGCAGATCCCATTTATTGTAAAAGGGCCCAAGCTTATATAGGGGTAGGGGTCCAATCAAGAAGTTACAACTCAGATCTTTGTCATTGAAAGCCAGGCACCTTATTAGCGTAATGGGTTTCAGGTTACTTAGGTTCTGGTTTCCTTATAGGGCCTGGTTTCTAGGAATCACGTGACCCAGGCTGTCCAAGTGTTGCAATTTTGGATCTCAAGGGTGGTGATTAGGGAGTGGCAAGCTCTAGGCATCAGTCTCATGATCTGTCAATGGGAGCAGATGTCACAAGGCATTTCTTGTGGCTCCAGTGGTTGGGTGGTTGCCTCAGACCTGCTGTATGGCTGTCAATAAGACTTTCACCCTAGGCTCAA